TGCAGGTTATAAAATCAAATCAATACCCAAAAGCCCATGGCTTTCCTACACGCAAACAGTGAGAGAGAAGAAAGCAACATGAAAAAACAATCCCGTTCACAATTGTGCCCCAGAAAATCAAGTACCTAGGAATCAGCTTAACTAAGGAAGTAAAGGACCTGTACAAAGAAAACTACAAAACACTACTTCAGGAAATAAAAGAGGACATGAGGAAATGGAAAGATATCCCCTGCTCATGGGTCGGGAGACTTAACATTGTCAAAATGGCAATACTACCGAAAGCATTGTATAAATTCAATGCAATCCCTATAAGGATACCCATGACATTCTTCAAAGAAATGGAGCAAACACTCCTGAAATCTATATGGAACAATAAGCCTCCACGAATAGCTAAAGCAATTCTTGGGAAAAAGAAAATGGGAGGAATCAACCTCCCGAACTTCAAACTGTACTACAAAGCAGTAATAATTAAAACAGCATGGTACTGGAACAAAGGCAGAACTGCAGACCAATGGAACAGGGTTGAATACACTGACATCTCCCCTCAATCATATGCTCATCTAATCTTTGATAAAGGTGCAAGTAATGTGAAGTGGAGTAAGGAAAGCCTCTTTAACAAATTGTGCTGGCATCACTGGACGGCTACATGCAAAATAATAGGCTCAGAACTCTGCCTAACACCATGTACAAAAGTAAGATCAAAATGGATTAAAGACCTCAACATCAGACCAGAAACCATAAGGTACATTGAAGATAAAGTTGGCAAAACCCTCCATGACATTGAAGCTAATGGTATCTTCAAAGATGCCACGCCACTGGCCGAGCAAGTGAAAACAGAGATAGATAAATGGGACTATCTTAAACTAAGAAGCTTCTGCACCTCCAAAGAAACAGTGACCAAAATACAAAGACAGTCTACAGAATGGGAAAGGATATTCACCGAATACACATCTGACAAGGGGTTGATATCCAGGATATACAAAATACTGGTTAAACTCCACAAGAAGAAAACATCCAACCCCATCCAAAAATGGGGCAATGAAATGAACAGAAACTTTCTCAAAGAAGAAATCCGAATGGCAAAAAAAGCACATGAGAAAATGCTCTACATCATTAATCATCAGGGAGATGCAGATCAAAACCACAATGAGATACCATCTCACACCTCAGAGACTGGCCCACATTCAAAAGAACAAAAGCAACCGATGCTGGCGTGGATGTGGCGAGAAAGGGACACTCCTTCACTGTTGGTGGGAATGTCGACTGGTTCAGCCCTTCTGGAAAACAGTATGGACGATTCTCAAAAAATTAGAAATTGAGCTCCCATTTGACCCAGCAATACCACTCCTGGGAATATATCCCAGAGAGGCAGAAATGTATAGTCGAAGTGACATCTGCACTCTTTACAATAGCCAGAAACTGGAAGAAACCTGAATGCCCAAGAACAGATGACTGGTTAAAGAAACTTTGGTACATCTACACAATGGAGTACTATGTAGCTGTTAGAAAAGATGAAGTCATGAAATTTACATACAAGTGGTACAATATGGAAAGTATCATGCTAAGCGAAATGAGTCAGAAAGAGAGGGATAGACATAGAAAGATTGCATTCATCTGGGAGATATAAAGTAACAAAGTATGAGCTTAATACCCAAGAATAGCTGAGATCAGCACCAGGAGGATTACTCCATAACTTAGAGGCCAGCCGGGTATCCTAGAGGAAAGGGCAGTTCAGATAGAGAAGGGAGCACCAAATAAAGGTTGTTTGGAGGATCCTCTCAGGAGGGGAGATGCATGTCGAAAGTAGACTATGGACTGAACATGTTTGCCACTCAATGCCTCCTTTACAGACCACAACACCCAAAAGGAGAGAGAGAACACAGGGGATTGCCCTGCCACAGAGACGGGGGGGATGGGGGGATGGGGGTGGGGGGATATTATCCATGGTGGTGGAGAATGGGCACTGGTGGAGGGATGGGTATCTGATCATTGTATAATCGAAACCCAAGCACAAAAAATTGTAAATCTACAACTGTAAAAAAAAAAAAAGAAAGAAAGAAACAAAACAAAAAAAAAAGAATAAACTTGTAAGCTTGTACAATAACATGGCTGACTTCAAAATCAACATGCAGAAATCTATGGCATTTCTGTATGCAAACAATGAGATAAAAGAAAGAAAAATTCACAAACTCCTCAAAAAAGTAAAGTTCTTAGGAATCAAATTAGCAAAAGAGGTGGAAGACTTATAAATAATTACTAAAGGAAATAAGAGTAAAAATAGCAAGCAGAAATCCCCATGACAATTTTTTAAAGACATAGACCAAATTCTGATGCTATTCATATGGAGTAATTAAAAAAAACCCAAGCAATTGGGGGGAAGGGGAGATGGGCTGCTTTCTTTCCCAACTTTATACCATAACGCCATAGCATCCAAGACATTGTGGTACTGAAATAAGGACAGATGCTCAAATCAATGGAATAGAATTGAGACTCCAGAGACAAATCCTTAGGTATATGGGACTGTTAATCTTTGAAAAAGGAACAGAGTACACGGAAGCAAGGAAAGCCCCTTCAACAATTAGTGTTGAAAAACTGATCAGTCACATGTTAAAAATGAAACTCAGGCCCCTATCTCATACCAAGCACAAAAGTCAATTACAATTTGATTTTTTAGCTTTTGTTTGGGGGCCACATCTCAAAGTGAAAAGGGCTTACTCCTGGCTCTATGCTCAGGGATCACTTCTGGTGGTGCTCAGGGAACTCTATGTGGTGCTGGGGTCGAATCCAGCCCAGTAGCAGGCAAGGCCAGCACCTCATCCACTGTACTATCTCTCCAGTCCATGGTGGATTAAAGACCTCAATATCAGACCTGAATTCATAAAGTATTTTGAGGAAAGTATAAGCAGAATTCCTCGTGACATGGAACCTAGAGACGTTTTCAGTGATCTCTTTTAAATCTTTGGTCAGATATTTTAAGAAAGCCTTTATTGACCATTAAAAAGGTTGATATGTAATTATCAACCTTTCTCTTTTCCCTGACCTTACTGTCCTCTTTACTCAGGTTTAGTACAAATAATTACTCATAGTATTAATTTCTTCTGATATGCTGTGCAACTAATTATTTGAACATGTTGATTGCTTATTGTCTATATTTTCCTTACTAGATGTAAAGTTAGTGAAGTCAGAGTTTAAGTGTATTTTGTTGGCTGCTAATCCCTGATGACTCAAACTGTATCTGTCTATTGAGTTGGCACTCAATGAACATGTATTAGGTATGTGGGTAGATGAATGGATGGATCAAAGGATCAAAGAAATGCCACAGATTAGAATATATTGTATATTCTTTGGAATACTATTTCTATAATATAGGTTAAGATAAATAGTTGAAATATTGGTGACAAAATTATGCTCATTATTGAACTCTTCAGTGGAAATAAGTGTTTCAACAAGTCATGAGGTGTAAATATGGCAGGAAATATTCAAGCAAAACCTAGACTCCAATGATTTGTTTCCAAAATTTGTGCAAGCCATTCTTGTAGCAGATTTGAGACTCATACTATCTCTGCCGAGGTGCCCAAAACACAACTCATCACTATAAGGGTTTGGAATGTCTCCTCAGTTGTTTATTTGTGATGGTAGTAACATCCTTTATTCTCTTTGTAACACAAACTCATATTGTTGAAACAGGTAATTTTCCAAAGCATATGCCAAATGTCACATTAAGCTAGAATATTCCAGCCTGGAGACTTTTTTGAAGAAAAATTAAAAGGCTTAATAGAAATTTTTGACCAGACGACCAGAATATATACACATCTTTAAATATTTGTATCTCAGCTGAAGAAAAAAGTCAGATTCAGAAAAAGAAGTAATGAATTTTCACAGCACAAGTTAATGGGTGGATACCACACATAATGAAATCTTTATGTTAAACCATTTTTACTAGTATTATGTATGGTTTCTATTTTACTTTGAATTTTTTGTTTTTTGAAAGAAATGCTGCCTAAGGAATGGGTCGAATTACACAGTAAGGTGCATGACCCTATAATGGGAGGATGTTCTAAACATGATTGCTTTTTCCTTCTGGGTATTATGGTTAGGTGGGGTCAGTATAGAAATGAGGGGAAAATGAACCCAGTAATGTTTTATTAAATTATATTCCTCCGATTCCCATCAACACGGCAGGCTGTATGATCATGGCAGAAGGAAGTACTAGGGCCGGTATGAGTGCTCAAGAGGTTTGCTTCTACCATTTTTGGAATCCCTTTAATTTGACATGCTATTAATAATAACAAATGTAATGATTTTAACTTAAATTGTGTCTCATCCCAAATTAATAAATCTTTGTCCAGTAACTAAACTTCTTACCAAAAATACAGTGTATTCTCAGCATAAGGATTTTGCTTTTCTTCTTAGGCTATTTTCATTTGTTTCTTCTGCATCCTTTTAATGGGAATTATAGGTCTCTTGAAAGGTAAGGTTGAAGTTTACAAGTCTGGCCTGCACACAATAACAAAATTATCTAAAGTTCAGGATGTTGCTTCTCCTTGATTAGGAAAAAAAATCCATATTTCACATTTAACCCAAATCATTTGCCATTCATATCCAAGAAATCAAAGATATAGTGCAGTTTAACATACTAACTTCTCTACTTGCCATAAAATTTACCCCCACTTGATTCAAAGTAGTGTTGATGTTTCAAATTTTCTCAGTTCTCCTTTTTAATGCTTGTGATTCTTTTTCTGAATTGCTTCCAAATCGGGGTCAGAACCTGTCATTGATATTGATATGCACAGTAAGAAGCTATGCACCTACTGAAGAGTTCATGATTAAACCATTTATGCACCTGATTTTCATTCCCATATCCCAGACCCAATGATTAGCTTTGGCTAGAGAAGCTCAGCACTCCATAAGCTTTATCATAATTTGCATGCAAGATCTTCCTAAATAAAATATTTCACCTAAATGCTAGTCTAGATGAAAGCATTTTCTCTCTCTTCCAGTGATGCAGAAGACCACAAGCCTTTGAAAAAGGGTAGTCGAACACCTTCAGACAGAACTGTGAAAAAAGAAGACAGCGATGATAGCCTGGTTGACTATGGAGAAGGGGTGAATGGCCAGTTCAATGAGGATGGTTCCTTTATTGGACAATACAGTGGTAAAAAGGAGAAAGAACCAGCCGAAGGAAACGAAAGCTCAGAAGCACCTTCTCCTGTCAACGCCATGAATTCCTTTGTTTAATTTGTAAGCTCTTTGCCAATATCCCGTTTCTCTGAAATGTTTATCTGAAGCACTTGTTTGTCATCCTTCTCATACTATGAACATAGATGCAGAAAGGCTCTTTTCTGCTCTATGTTAATATTGTGAGAACAATCAGAGCAAGAATATAGTTCAGTTAAATGATACATTGATGTGAACTGCCGTGCAAAGTGGGTACTTTTTCATTTAAAATAGGTATTCTTGATTTCCTCAGAACTGATAGAAATGATGCAACATCAGCAGATCATGGTATTTCCTCTTAAGGATACAGTCCAATATGATGCATGAAAATGCTATACAGTTAAAGGACATACCAGTGTATGTTATTCAAATATGGTTTGTACTCTGTTTATACTATCCTCAGCTGAACCCCTAAATATGAATTCCGTTTTCATTGTCAAGAGTGTCACTGTAGTGTTCTCTAGAACTTCAATGTCTTTGTGGACATTGTTGTGAATTGGTGACTCTATGTCTAGCTGTCGTTAGTCTTTTTTGGGAGACTGTTAGGAACGTATGTACATTATATACTTGCTAAAAGATAATTATGACAGTTCCATTTCCTGATGCTTACTGAGACTCTGTTACCTGCTCCTTGCTCCTGTTACTCTGTAGACATCTTAATCTCCCAGGTATTACAAAATCACAGTGTTCTTTTACATCATTTCTCTGTTCGGTTGTTTTTAGGCATAAACAATATGTGTTACAGTGCATTTGGCATTTATACCATACTGAAAGAATTGAAAAGAAATCATACAAATTAAAAATTTTTTTCCAGAAAGCACAGGGCAAGACAAAAGCAGTGCCTTCAGACAATAAGCGTTCTAAAATATAATGCCGTCTGTATCATTCAGTACAGCTGACTGGGAGCCCTAGATTACTGTTGTTGTTTAAAAGTAACTTTTGAAAAAAAAGGAAAGATTATGAAAATTGCAATGCTGGAAAAAAATAAGGAAATGTGAAAATTAAATGACTAAGACAGCTTTTAAGGAGCAATTTCCCCACTGTATATAAAGAAAAGCTTTATCACCAACTGGAGTACATGATGATTTTGTGGTCTCTTATGGTTTCTACTAAAAATAAGAAAGATATCAATGTAATAGAAAATTTTACAACGTACGAATTGTTCTAAAACTGAAAATATACAAAAGCATGCCAGCATAAATATGTTATCCTCTAAGTCTTTCATTATGTGGCAGCTTCTAAAACTCTGTACAGCATTAGAGTGCGTACAGATGCATTTCAGTACTTAAAAAATTTGACAAGTGCTAACAAGGCCAGTAGTCAAAGGGATTGCATCTACAGTTTCAAAAATAAGCATATATATCCTATCATATCCATCAATAATAGCAAATGGTTTACCTCCAAATACAAAATTATATGACAACCTATGGTTGAAGGAATGTTCAGTTTCATTTGCCAATAAATTGGTTTTTCATAACTTGCATCAAGTTTAATTTTAAGTAAATCCTTTTATATGTAGATATTTTGTTGAATTTGTAAATACACTTAAAGTGTAGATGCTATATGCTTTTAGGTGTTATATACAAATATACATGCAAACAATATTATGTTGTGCCGTATAAGAAGTAAACTAATCAATGCGGTGCATGGAATTAGAAAAACATCTGCTTAAATACCTTTTGGGTGACTTCCCCTTTTGTCATGAAACTGAAATAATGAGCTGTTCTCCATATTGACAGCAGTTTTCTAGGTGACATTTTCAGAGCTTTGCCTATGTGGCTCCCTCAGCCTTGTCAACTGGCATTTTTAATAATGTAGGTAAAGCACAGTTTAAGGAAATTCTCGGTAACAGTGACCCAGAATACTTTCATGTATCCATATTTGCTTTTCACAGATCATTCTTTCTATGGAATTTTACGAAATAGGCTTGCTTTGGTATCAGAGAGCACAAGGATAAGAGTGACTTTAAATTTGCCAGTGTTTTGGGGGAACAATAAAAGTACAGTTTTACTCTTCCATAACAGTAGATGTTAAGTTTATCTGTGCATGAAGGGGTCACTTCTGTCATAGTGCAAATGATTTTTGTATTAAGAATTGAATGTGGTTTTAAAAGTCCCTCTTTTGTAATTGATCATGTTCCTAGTGGAGTGTGATTGTCCAAGTAATGGATATGTAACCGTACAGGCAGATGTGACTGGACTTCCATCAAAAAGTAACTATTAAACACTTTTGACCTCTTTGTGATTTTTAACTTTTTCAAACATGTATTTCATAACATTTTAAAATAGCACCGACATTGCTGTTTTACTTTTAAGATCCAAGAAAATCAGACAAATCTCAAGTCCGTATAAAACAAGGGCTAATGGAAGCTGGGGAGATGGTACAACAGGTAGCGTGCTCGCCTTACAGCAATTCACCCAAGTTTAATGCCTGACATGGCATATAATCCCCCAAACCCTGCTAGGAGTGATTCCTGAGCACAAAGCCAGGATTAAGTCCTGAGCATAGCTGAGTGTAGCCCCAAAACAAGTAAAACAAGGGGGAAAAATAGAAACATCAAAAAGTTTTCATGAAAAGTAGTAGTAGATGTAGCAGCCTGTTGAGAAATGGCCCAAGACTCAACAGGACCAGAAGCAGAGATCCTCTGCCCATTTCCCCCATCTCCAGTAACCCAGGGATCATGCCCATAAGCCACCTTCTGCCTGTTCCAGACAATCTCCTCATCGGCCACCATCCATATCACATGACTTTTTCTCCTGGAAGGAAGCAACATGACGCCCGCCATAGCCAGGCCACCAGACTCTGCACCAGGCTGTTTCACCCGGGGCATCCCAGAGGGTGAGAGCCCTCCATGCCCCAAGGGACCCAGCCCTGGCAGCCCAAAACCTCTAGAACCCAACCACTGCCACACTCAAAGCCGTTCTACACACGTTCAGGCTGAGCCTTACGTACAAGTGAATGTATTCCTGGATCGCACAGCTTTGAATGCAACACATCCTAAGACACTCCCTACCCATTCTCCATATGTACTACACCACACCTGATGTGGTTCAAATAGTAGGCAACCAATCATAGAGGGAAATATATGTATATGCATATATAAATAGTTTCAGATATATATCTGAAACTGTCACTGCTCTCCGGTTGTTCATCAATTTGCTCAAGTGAGCCCAGCAACATCTCCATTTTTGAGACTTGTCGTTACTGTGTTTGGAATATTGAATACATCACGGGTAGCTTGCCAGTCTTTGCTGTGCGGCGAGATTCTCTCGGTAGCTTGCTGGGCTCTCCGAGAGGGGCGGAAGAATCGAACCTGGCTCAGTCGGGCTGGCTGCACGCAGAGCAAATGCCCTACCTCTGTGCTATCGCTCCAGCCCATCTGAAAATAAATATATACATATGTATATATTCGAAAGTTCACATCACTCAACCTTTAACAACATGTTAGTGATATTCTAAAGAACGTCTTAATGGCCCCTGCCAAAATAGAACAATTGTCACACTGTCTCCTCTATGGATACTTTTTTGTAGCATTTTCAGCAGTTTTCCATAACAAACAATACAAAATATCGATTGTCCTTTGGGAAAGGGAATGGGACTTGGAATGCAAACATCAAAAATTTGGTGGTGGGAAGGTGTAATGGTGGTGGGATTGGTGTTTGAATATTTGCTGTAATCAAATATTGTGAACCACCTTATAAACTAAAATATTTTTTAAAAGAAAAAAAAGAAAGAAATGGCCCAAGAAATCAGGTGCCATTTTCTTTCCCCACTGTCCACGGGCCTGGCTCCCCCCTGCTAGCCTATACCTCTACCCACCTCCCCAGCACAGGCAACTTGAGTTTCCTTCTTAACCTCTACCACTGGATTTACATGTTAATTTATGAGTGTGCCCTGTATGTGTCCTCTGGTCCCTTCTCTCCAACCCTGTCCACATCTCAAACCTGTCCTGTCTGTAAACAGCCACAGCCCAGCTGGTCCCTGACTTCCATCACTGGCCCTTCCTCTCCAGCACGCATGTGGATATTTGGATGACGGCATGTGAAAGAAGAGCAGCAGTAAAATGCAACGTCCATGCTATTCTGACCAAACACACCTTACATTTCTGAAGAGAAATTCAGTCCCTAGCCCACATGAAACAAGGGACCTCAGCCTGCAGCCTCTGCAGACTCTGCTTAGTCGCAGGGTCCAGGGGATGGTGACACGGACCGCAGGGAGCACTGGTGCATCCATGCTTCTCGTCCCAACCATCTACGATGCTCTGGTTTACTTTTAATTTTGTTAAATAGCCATGATTTACAAAGTAATTGATAGTTGAGTTTTAGCCATATTGTTATCTAGCACCAATCCCATCCCGTGTCAATGTCCCTCCACCAAGGTCCCAAGTTCCCTCCTGCTCCACCCCAAACATGAAACCTTAACAGGCACATTTTAAAGTTTGGTTGTTGTAGTTGGGGTCTCAAGCATGCAGTGACTCTGGTTTATTTTTAGCAACTGGTTCTGGAAAGAAATGAGAACTGATAGTGTCCGTCCCTAAACCAAGCAAAATCTCTCTCCTTTTTTCCCTACAAATTACCACCAGAGGGCTCCCATGTTTTACTCAGTATAAAGCAAACCTCAGGAGATTTAAATCTGGAGAAATTGTAAAACTTCTGTGGCGAATCAGATGGACAGTGCAGAAAATGACTGCCTGCTGCACTAGCAAGCAGGGCGGTGGCAAGAATGCGGTTGGCCACACTTTTGTTGTTCACAGCTTCTGAGGAGTGTCATCTGTGTTCAGAGAACCTTCTCTTGGCTTTCCCACCAACATATGAAGAAACTCACTGTTTCTCCCTCTCTTTTTTTTTTTTTTTTTTTTTGCTTTTTGGGTCACACTCAGCGAAGCTCAGGAGTTACTCAAAAATTACTCAGAAATTACTCCTGGTGGTGCTCGGGGGAACACATGGGATGCTGGGAGTCAAACCCGGGTCAGCAAATGCCTTACCCGCTGTGCCATTGCTCCAGCCCGTTTCTCCCTTTCATGATGGACCTCCGATTATCATTTTTATCCTCTACTTCATGTTCATAATTAAAATAATACCAAGAAAACTAAATGAAGATCATCACAGGATATCTGTCAGACCAGGAATTTTTTGTTCCTTACATAAGTGCAAAATTTACCCCATCTGCCCTACAATCCCCCCCACCGCCCGCCCAGGCCCCTATTTAGCTACTGACTGTAGCTGTTATCTCAATGAATGAGTCAGCAAACCATTTTTCAAGTCAGCAGTTCTGAGTTCCTAATAACTGCTCCCCCCCACCACCTACTGTATCTCTGATGTAATTATCCCATGAAGCCTGGGCGTGTGAGATGTTTGAGTTCCCCAGATGATTCTCATATGCAATCAAGAAAGAAATCAATGTAAAAAAAAAAAAAACATTGTCACCAAGTTTATGTGTGTGCCTGTAAGTATTGAAGTATTTGAATCTATTTCTTCTCACAAGGTGATCTCAAATTCTCTTGGTATTTCATTTTTAAAGAGAGAAAATGGGTCCTTCATCTATGATTGGTTAGAATATACAATTTGAAAGTAATTTGGTAGTTTCCTATGTCACATCTATAAAGGTCCTCCCGTTGTTCATCGATTTGCTCAAGCGGGCCCAGTAACGTCTCCATTGTATCCGATATGCCAAACACAGTAACACATCTATAAGACCCAGAAATTTCACCCTTTAGGGATATGCTCAAATGAAAAAAAATAGGTCAATACCCATTGTAGACATGGATTCATAGAGCATTCTTTCTACGGAATTACAAAATAGTCTTGTTTTATAGAAGTTTTAATCATAGTAGTCAAATACTGATCCAAACGTTCCTGGATAAACAAAGTGTGATTTAAATATGAGGGTTGGGGCTGGAATGATAGCACAGCAGGTAGGGCATTTGCCTTGCATGCGGCCAACCCGGGTTCGATTCCCAGCATCCCATATGGCTCCCTGACCACCACCAGGAGTAATTCCTGAGTGCAGAACTAGGAGTAACCCCTGAGCATCACCAGGTGTGACCCACTATCACTGTCACTGTCCTCCCGTTGTTCATCATTTTGCTCGAGTGGGACCAGTAATGTCTCCGTTGTGAGACTTGTTACTGTGTTTGGCATATCCAGTACGTCACGGGTAGCTTGCCAGGTTTTTGCTGTGAGGGTGAGATCCTCTTGGTAGCTTGCTAGGCTCTCCAAGAGGGGCAGAGGAATCAAACCCGGCTTGACTGATCTGGCTGTGCGCAAGGCAAACACCCTACCGCTGTGCTATCACTCCAGCCCCAAAAAGCAAAAATAAAGAAATAAAGAAATAACCATGATGGTGTTTCCATAAAATTAAATGGAATACTATTTTAATTGTTTCAGTACTAATAATGCTATAACATAGAAGACCCTTCAAAACATCATTCTGGGTTAAGGAGATATCCCACAGGATGAGAGTTTATGCCTGGCATGCAGGAGGCCTGAATTCTGCCTTCCAGCATTTGAGGCTATTTTACATAGTCCAGCATGGCTGTGGAGGGCTCCCCAGCCCTTGGCCTATGCAGTCCTGTCTCACCGGCCCAAGAATGAACTCTGGCCCACGTTGCTGGGTTTTGTGTCCCCAGAAGTGGCCTGAGCTGAAATAGGCTTCCAGAAAAGCAAACAGGAACTGGCAGAAGTGTCTTCTTCTTGGTTCTCTCTGGTCTGCCTGCCCAAAGGAGCCGCATGGCAGGGTGCTGTGGGCTAATGACATCTGTCTCTTATTTCCTTCTCCATGTCTAAAACACAGGGTCATGATCTAGGTCAGCTTTCTAGAAAAGGTCTGCAGGAAGCTCTTCCACCCAACCTAGCCCTGCAGTGGGCTAGACACGCTAGGCATCTGACTCTCCATGTTGGTTGTAGCTCTCCTGGGGGGCAGTCTGAAATAGGGGACCCCATGTCTTCCTAACCTACATGTCCAGTGGCAAGGCATCTTGCAGTCTTTTATAAATCCTTAAGTTCTGTGTTTCCACTTTGCTCTAGCCCTTCTTTATTTGTGCTCATTTCTCTCACCCTTTTGCCTTCCTTGCTTCTCCCTGACCTCTCATCATTGCTCTCCTGGATCAAAACAACACCCTGTCCCAGTCTTTAATTCCTCATCCAAAAGGGAGTCTAATTTACAGCCCAGCGAGACTCTTAGTACATCCAATCTCAGCAGAGGAGACTCTGGCTAAAGGAGTCATAGGTTTTCCTCCCAATCCCAACAGCCATTCCCTGAGTTTTCCCTGAAATGACAAAATTGCATATAGCAACATACCTCCTCTAACCTCCAATCTTCCCACTTCAGGGCCTGCCCTGCTTGCTGTTTTCCACACTAAACATCACCCAGGGAAAGAGGAGGGTTGGCAAGCTTTATCTCTTAGGGATGAGGGGGGACTTTCCGGACTAGAGCAATGTCTGTCTGTGCTCCCCACAACTCAGCTCTGGGGTAGAGTGTAAACCGTGTGGAGTGAGGATTTAAAGCGTTGTAAATCTGCTGCAACAAACGCATGTGATGGAATCCCCATAAAACTTCCTCAATCACAGCCGTGATCTAGTGCCTCATCCCTGGTGGACGGGATTCATCTCTCCACTAGAAAAGCCCTGGGAGGAGAGCCTGGGGCTGCCTAGAAGGAAATGAAGGGAAGCTACTCTTGAAGAGGGTTGCCCGAACCCCCTCCTGCGGGTCCAAGTCCAGGGTGCGGGAATGAGGGTGGCTGGAAGTTCCAAAGATGGTTAAGCAGGGTGCACTCCCCTGTACAGTCTCGATCTCGTTCCCCTGGGCTGGATGGGAATAAGCGAAGGAGGCAGGTCAGGCCCATCCTGGGGGGTCCAGCCAAGCGGGGTCCAGGGTGGGTGGGGCTCCGAGTGGGCGTGGCCAAGCGGCGGCCCCGATTGTGACGGGCCCCACGTCGGAACCCCAAGCGCTCGCGTAGCTGCCTGGGGCCCCCAGCCTGGGCAGGTGGAGCCCGCGGGACGTGCGCTCTGGGTCAGGAGGGCCTCCAGGTGTTTGACGGTGAAGCATGTCCCGGGCCTCGCCGCCGCCGCCGCTGCCCCGCGTGGGAAAGGCATGAGCTGCGGGCTGCGCGGCGGCTGCGCGCGCCCCCACTGAGCAGCGCATCCCTCCCCTCCCGGGATTGGGGGGGCGCGCGGTGCGGAAGGCCCAGGCAAGGGTCCCCCGAGCTGGCCATGGCTCCCGGCCGTCGCCCCTCGTGCCGGCGGCTGGAAGCGGTGAAACGGGGGCGGCCCCGACAGTCGGCGCAGCCGCGCGCGCACAAGACGGGGCCCCGGGAGCCGCCACCGCCGCCGTCGCCGCCGTCGCCGCCGTCGTCGCCGCCACCGCCGCCTCCTCCGCCGCCGCCTCCTCCTCCGCCGCCGCCGCCGCCGTCCGCGCCCCCGTCGTCGCTGCCGCGGCCCTCGACGCCGGCGTCCCCGCGCGGCCCGTCGCACTCGACGGCCTCCCTGGGGGACCTGGGCGAGCAGCGCGAGCGCTGGGAGACGTTTCAGAAACGGCAGCGGCTGAGCTGCGAGGGCGCCGCCAAGCTGCTGCTGGACACCTACGAGTTCCAGGGCCTGGTGAAGCACACGGGCGGCTGCCACTGCGGCGCCGTCCGCTTCGAGGTGTGGGCCAACGCCGACCTGCGCGTGATCGACTGCAACTGCAGCATCTGCAAGAAGAAGCAGAACCGCTCCTTCGTGGTCCCGACGTCGCGCTTCAAGCTGCTGAAGGGCGCCGACCACCTGACCACCTACACGTTCAACACGCACCGGGCGCAGCACACCTTCTGCAAGCGGTGCGGGGTGCAGAGCTTCTACCGGCCGCGCTCCAGCCTCAACAGCGTGGGCATCGTCCCGCACTGCCTGGACGCGGGCACCGTGCGCAGCGTGGTGGTGGAGGAGTTCAACGGCGTCAATTGGGAGAAGGCCATGAAGGAGTGGAAGGCCAAGAACGTGGCCAAAGAGTGAGCCGGGCTGTGCAGCCCGGGGCTGGAGGCGGGGGTGGGGGCAGAGGGTGGGAGGGGGACGTGTGGTCCCGCCTGCAGCCTGCCTGGTGCAAGCTGCTCACTAAAGCGCCGGCCCACGCCCACCTCTGACCAACCTGTCCCAAGGCAGCTCCTTGACCTTCCTTAACCCCCGATGGTGATGTGTGCATCGGGTGACATCCTTCCTTCTCTTCCCAACTTTTATGCGACCTTTCAAAAAATAATCATAAAACGATTTTAGCCTTAGAGGCAGAAAGTGGCTCCTGGTGTATCTGCTTTTGTGGAAGTGGAAGTGGATGCCGATAAAGGGAAATGCAGATGCTGCTAATTTAGCTGCTGCTGCTGCTAATTTAACTGCTGCCCTCCACCCACCCGCCCCCACCCCACGCCCATTCATATTCACTGTCCTTGTAGGAGAAAATGGGCCCTTTGCCCTAAGCCAGGAAACATGTGAAAATACGTGACTATGAAATGATCCACATTAAGCTTTCTTAGGCCGGGTCTTCTGCCCATTGGTCTGAGCCAGGGTATCCTTCTCCACTTGTGAAGGATCTGGGGGGGGTGGGGGCTGTGCCTAGTGACTGCCCGAAGCTAGGGGAGGAGGCAGGAGGAAGTTACCAGGTACCGCTTCCCAAAGAGGCATGGTGGTCCTGAGGAGCGTCTCTGGGAAGGTTCCTCAAACCAGGGCATTGCAGAAACTTGGGCACAGACTTGCACCAGAGAGGGACTTGCCAGCCCTCTGTTTTCAAAAGAACTCAGTAGCAGTACCTGATATTCAGGGGAAGTGGGTAGGGTTGCCACTGGAGCAGATGCTTAGTTCCCAACCCCCAGTGTGTTTGGTCAGGAGACCCCAGAGGCATAGTCAGGACCAATGATGCTCGGAAACTGGCCATATGAGACTGGATCTCGGGTCATGTGATGACAATTGTCCAGGCACATTGGTGGTATAGATCAGAGATTTTTTTTCTTTTTTTTTTATAATTTTATTTATTGAATCACCAAGAGAGCAGTTACAACGCTTTCAGCTTTAAGACTCGGTCATATAATGGAACACCCATACCTTCACCAGTGCTCATTCTCCACCATCAAAAATCCCAGTATACTCCCATTCCACACCCTCCCCCTACCTGTGGGGCAGATGATTTCCACATTACTCTATCTCTACTTTGATTACATTCAGTATTTTGACACCAGACCCATTATTATTTGGGATTTTACCCCAACACTCAGATATGCTGAAAAGTCAACACTAGATAATTTGTTTTCTATTGCTGGTTATGAATAACATATGGTGTCACGTGGCTGCAGTAGTAACTGCGCAATTTTGGAATTCCGAAGTTTTAACAAGTCTGGAGGGATTTCTGACAAAACCTGCTGGGTTCCAAGATTTGTTCCCGAGTCTCTGGTATCATGGCCGTTAAGCAGCTTGATCAGGAGCCAGAAAGGCCGTTCATGGGTGGCGACTTGGGGTCTCATTGGGATGGGGAGGAAAGGGCCGGCTCCACCCCCATCCCGTGAGGCCCATGTGTCTTGTCACTGTGGGTCCAAACCTGACTGCCCAATGGCCTCTGGAATATGGTGGCCACCGAGCCATCTAGGGGGAGCAGGTGGAGGGACAACATCCTTTTCCCCCTGAAGCAGCCCAGCAACAGTAACCTACTGCAGGGTCTGGATGCATTTCTGCCAAAAGCCGCTGGGCTTCAAGATTTGTTTCTGAGTCTCTGAGAACATGGCTGTTAAGCAGCTTGTAGATAAGAGATTTTCAAACTTATTTAGCTTTCCCTTTTCAGAAAAAAAGAAAAATTACTCAGACCTCCTTGGAAATTAAAGTGTTCCTTAATTGTACCCAAGGCTACTACCATCTCCGCAGGATTGTTTTAGTACCCCCTGGAAGGTGATATCTCCTACTTTGGGAAAGACTGGTACAAGTGGTCTGAGGTGTGTGCAAATTTGTCCAAACTTTCATTTATATAAGATCATGGACACTTTATCTTATTCAATGAGAATATTAAAGTCATGTCTAGTGCCTTATAAACTCTGTGAGCAAGCTCATGGCACAGACTGGGATCTCAGTTTTATTCAGCTAAGCTTGGTCTCATTTTATTTTTTTTTTTATTTTTTTTTTAATAATTTATTTATTTATTGAATCACTGTGGGAAAAGTTACAGAGCTTTCGGGTTTAGGTCTCAGTCATGTAGATGCCGAACACATTTCCCTTTACCAATACTCATTTTTAACCCCGAACCCCAATAGACCCCCACCTCCCACCCCTCCCAATTCTTGTGAGGCAGATGAGTTCTAGTTAATACTCTATCTACTTTGACTAGATAGATTATTTCGATAGAAGATGCACAATTATTGTTTAGAGTTTACGACCCACCCCCCCCCCCAATCAGACCTGCTGAAACAGCGTTGTGAAATGATTTGCTTTCTACAACTTGGTTTAAGAATAAAATGATGTCGCGTGGCCGCGATAGCGGCCGCGCGGTTTTGAATTTCTGCTATTTTACTTATTGACCCTGGAAGAATTTCTATTAAAAGTTAGCTAGTTAAGAGATTGGTTTCTGTGCCCTGGAGTCGTGGCCGTGCCGGAGAGCCGCTCGTGGGGGGCAGCTGGCGACCTCGGTGGGGCGTGGGGGACGGCCCACAAAGCCCCCCTTCCCATGAGGTCCCCGCCGCTCCCCCGAGCCCGGCTCAAACCTGCTTTCCACAAGGCTCCCGTGCGGCCGCCATCTTTCTTTCCAGAGACCACTTGGTCTCATTTTAAAGTGAGAAAAGGAAAGAAGGGGAGAGGGCAAATTTGGAGGTCTGAATTTGTTGCTCTGCATTTCGTTGCTCCATGTAAGAATAGAGGCTTCCATAGAGTCATTTTTCCATCTTTGCATGTCTGATGAATGTCTAGTTTTAGACATTCAAAAATGTCCCTTTATCCAAGGGAATGTGTAAGTATCAGACTGTCTCAGGACAGTCTCAAAGCAATCAGAAATACTTGGTGACCTCATGTCCAGTGGCTAGGGATCTCCAACAGGCCCTTTGGCAATAAAAGACTATAATCATAAACATATCACTGAGGAATAAAATGTTTTCCCCCTACATGACCTTGAAAGAATAATGTAAATTACATGGAACTTCAACAAAAGGTGCAGTAGTCTGACTGCCCCAGAATTTTCATGTCCTAGTTTCCTGAACCCTGTGAAAATGCTATGGTCACGTGATAAAAAAAAAAGGCATTACAAATGTGACTAAGAATCTTTATATGGGATGTCATCCTGAGTTGTATTGGTGATTCTATATTAGTTACCAGGGTCCTTATACATGGGGTCAGGGAAATCAGTTTGGCAGTAGGAAATGTGGGGTAGGAGGCAAGAAATTTGAGTGGGGCAAAGAAAGGATGAGGGATACAAGCAGAACTAAAAACTGAGAGGGGCGAAGGATTGGGTTCTCAGAGTCTCAATGGGCCAGTGTTGCTGACAGTTTGGCCAGCCTTATGAGGCTGACCTGAACTTCTGATCTAATAATGATAAGATCATTTTTGGTGTTTATAAGTCACTCAGTTATGATGCTACATTACAGCAGCAAAAAGGAAACTTAGATAATAGACAGCAAGATCCACAAATCCAAAAGGTAGTGACTGACTGATGATAAACCCACAATCTCAGTATTGGGGGAGGAGAGAAAGAAGAGTATGATGTCATAATGTGTTAAATTGCTAGGACTGTCATAACAAAATACCATGAAATGAAAGGTTTGAGTAGCCAAGCTCTATTGACTTTGGTTTCTAGAGGACAACTGTTCAAGATTAAGGAACCCGCAGAGCCATGTCTCCTCTGAAGATATAGGAATGGGTCTATATCTACCAAGATATATCTGACTACCCCAAGATTTAGGTAGTGCCTTGACTTATGGATGCAAGCTCTTTCTCATGGTATCACCCCTTTGACCATGCCTTTGTCCAAATTAGTCCTTTGGAAACAGAACCATCATATTGGACTAGGTATGACTATATTTTCCCCGGTATGACTATATTTTAATTACTTGCCTTTGCAGTCATATCAATCCTAAATAAAGTCACAACCTGAAATACTGGGGTAAGGGGTTAGGAGTTCAACATATGAATTTGGGAAGGGAGGAGGACATAATTCAGCTAAGCTCCTATTTACCATAACACATAGACAAATGGGAAATTAGCCCTGCTAATGACGATATTTTATTTGTATTGTATTGTATGTCTTCCCATTGTTCATCGATTTGCTCGAGCAGGCCCAGTAACGTCTCCATTATGAGACTTCTTGTTACTGTGTTTGGCATATTGAATACTCTCGGTAGCTTGCCAGGCTGTCCGAGAGGGGCGGAGGAATTGAACCTGGCTCGGCCAGGCTGGCTGTGCACAAGGCAAACGCCCTACCGCTGTGCTATCACTCCAGCCCCGATATATTTTATTTAGTTTCCATAAATTAGACATGTGTGGGTTGCAAAGGGAAAAGGAAGCTAGTGCTTTCAAGGAACTGACATTAGTGTCCTGGTTTAATATCAAAGTTGAGATAACAATTCAACATAGTCTCGGGACTGCAACTTAAAAGTTCCTACATCATTCCAGAGATGACAAATTCTGTAACAGGACAGGTGAGAAACCCATACCAGAAGGAGGAGAAAGAGGATCAATAGATTCAGGCAAGAGTCTATGCTAGGCTGGGGGATACTTGCAACAGTGCAATACTGAGCTCTTTAGAATTGCTTAGACATTTTTGCAAATCTTATATTACCTATATTTTCACTCTTTAAACTGCTTATTGACATAAATCCTAAAATTATTTAGCATGAACCTTTGGGTTTTATCAGTAGACCTCTGGAAGTAAAATTCGGTAAAGTACCATTAGAATTTCAACTTGAGATGGGGATATACCAACATTCTAACCATAAAAATGGGTTAAAATTTTTCTATAAAGGGCAGGATAATAAATACTTTTTGGCATTTATGTGGTT